AAAGAATTCCCGGAAGTAACTATTTACTTCCCGGAAGTGAAAAATATGTTTCCCGGAAGTACATAGTTACTTCCCGGAAGTGGAAAAACAATTCCAGGAAGGAAGTCGTTTTTTTCCCGGAAGTTAATAGTTATTTCCCGGAAATTATATGGTTACTTCCCGGAAGTGAAAGAATAACTTCCCGGAAGTGCTGGGGTTTCTTCCCGGAAGTGATGTGTTACTTTCCGGAAGTGAATGAATTACTTTCCGGAAGTGAAGGGGTTATTTTCCGGAAGTGAAAGAAACATTTCCCGGAAACGATTGGGTTACTTCCCAGAAAATGCATCATCAAAAAAATTGATGATGTATTTTTAGACAAATTGGGTTACTTTCGGGAAGTGGTTATTTCACTTCCCGGAAGTAAATACACCCTTCCCGGAAATGAAGGAGTACATTCCCCGAAGTTAGGTATCCATTTCTCGGTGGTTAAGTGGTTTAAACCTTTTTTTAACCAGGTGTAGCTGAACTGCCACTTAAGGAGTGTTTGATAGAACATATTTACAAAGTGTTTTTTTCAACTTTAATGCAAAATGTTCACATTTTTCTACAATTTTGGATTAATTACAGCTTAGTTGTTCTTTCATCCACTGGTCTTTTTTAACTCTATGTTCAAGTTAACGATTAAATAAGTTGACGATTTACTACTAAACAATTAATACAATTGCAACGTTGAAAAAACACACCTAACTTCCCTCTTCAACATTTTATTTGAGTCAATACTTTGATTTCGGTGGGTTGGAGAAGAGATTCATCTCACAGTTGCAGGAAGAAGCAGATCAAATGTTCTCATTGAAGTTATTTTATCATAATGAGAGTGACCTAACCAGGCTATAGTAGCAGCTTGCCAGACGTCCGGCGCTGCACGCTACAATAACTCCCATGTTGTCCGAGGTAATTGCTCTGGAGCGGACATAGTTTTATTTGTGAATTTCCAAACAGAGCGCCGTTCATCTCCACTTGTACAGGCGGAGGGTCAAACGATGTCCCAGTTTAATCCGAAGCAGAAAAATGCAGGTTTCGTCGGCCTGAAAGTAACTCAATATCAATTTTGAAATCAACTTTAACTGTAATTGCTTTGCTTTTAAGAGATTGCTTTGAATTTAAGTGCCATGAGCAGAAATTAAATGTTTCTTTGACCATTCTTCTGTTATCAAGGCTGAAACTGGGAACGCGTTTGCAGGCGAGTGAAATATCAGAGTTAATAAGTAGGAGTTGACTGCACCTAATGAACACGCTGCAGCTCAGTATGATTTCAAACGTGGCTTTTCAATCTGAAGATCCTCTGTGGATAGCAATTAAACACAGTCAAGTTTGATCTCACGCCTCCAAAAGATGTTAAGATCACATTCACATTTAATGCTTAAATCAACATCGTCTTGACTTCTATCAATATCACGCAAAGCCTTTTCTCTACTTGGTGGCCAATTACAGCCATCAATCACCCCAACCACTTAATGAATGTTTGATGTTCATCCATCTTTTTTCAGCGTTTTGGAAAAGCCGTTCTCAAACGTCCCAGAAATCTCAGAAGAAGCTCTTCTTTAACATCCAACTGTTTAAATTCATGGTTAACTTATGCCTTATTTTTTTGCTTATTCTGGAAACAAAACAGATAGAAAGTTTGAATTATTTAGTAGAGATTGAACAGTTTTGTGAGATGGTCAAATCCTGAGTTGTTTTCTAACTTCACCTTTTTAAAATTTTCTACCACTTCACCTCTGACCCCTCTGAGGCCTTTGCAAAATAACTGAAGATTAAATTAATATATTTATTAATTAAGTGACTTTTGAAGATTAAAGGAAGAAATATATACAAATTTATTTTCCCCTTTTTGATTTTATTTGCCAAAAAAGAAGAAAAATCAAAACATATCTTTCTTATAAGTAAATAAAAGTCATAATATTAATTCTGGAATTATTTCCACTTTATTCTTCTAATATTATGACTTATTTCTCATATGACAATTTTTGTATTAGTACAACTTTATTCTCGCAGCATTATAACTTTCCATGTATTATCACCACTTTATTCTTTTAATATTATGAGTTTATTCTCATAATATTGTGATTTTATTCTCTTAACACTATACAACTCTATTCACGTATTATTTTTGACTTTATTCTTGCAACATTATAGTTTTCCTTTCAGAATCGAAACAGATAAAATAACATACTGAAGCACACAGTGGAAATGAGGCAATTTGTACATCCTACCACCGAACAGATAAATGATGTTTCTGGTAGTTTTACCTAATTATTTTGATGGGATAGATCTGGATATCTTAACGTACTTCAATCTGAAAAAGGTCAAACAAACACAGACGCATTCTTATATTTATGTATCACAGGATTCCTTCAACGGCTGGAGAATTAAAGAAAAACATGAAAATAGTTTGAAGTATTTTCTTAATTTGAATGTGTGTGGAAAAAGAAAACAAACTAGGGATTTTTATTTATATTTCCAGATTCTTTTACCTATAAGTCTAGTTATAAACATTACATTTTCCTTTACTGATTAAGATGTAAAAGATGAACATAGTTTATCATAATTTTAATGTACTATATCACGTTATCATATTGTTTCCATAGGTTTTTAGTTATTGTTATATACAAACATCAAGTCAGACAGACGTCACATGTGGGGCGCCCCAAGGTTCAATCTTGAGCCCCCCTAAAATTAATATCTACTTAATCTCAAGGTAACAACAAGTAATCAGATTAGGTACCATAACTATGCAGATGATGCACAGCTCTACATTACGATGCCACCATGTAACTCTGAACCATCCAATCACTGAACAGATGCTAACAGATAAATGTGCCATAACATTCTCCAGATGAACAGAAACAAAACTGAATTTATTATCTTCGAATCTAAAAAGATACAATCAAGAGTCAGCTTCAGTTTAGATCTATAGATCAGGCCTGAAACCTGACCTGAACCTTCAGACACACATGAAGACAGTTACAAAGTCGGCCTTCTAGCACTTATTTCAAGGATAAAGGTGAAATGACCCAACAAGATCTATAGAAACTCCTCCATGTGTTTGTCTTTAGTTACTTTTATTACAGGTCTGCCTAAAAAATCAACCCTCCAGCCTCTTTAAGAACAGGCAGTGCAGATCAGAAGTGAGAACACCGATCAGGTCGGCAGGGTCAAGCCTCCGTCACATCACCGTTCACCTTCAGCTGACTCCGCTCCAGTGGCTGAAAAATCCAGAAGCCACGTCAATAAACCCCAGCAGTAATTACACTGACTGTCCTCCAATCTGCAGGCTTACAATCTTGATTTTTATTGGTTTGGGTCAACAAATTTCAGCACATCCTCAGAGGATCAACTCAGAGCTAATCTATTAAAGATGAGGTTCAGAAATGCTTTTTCTGTGTTTTATTTTAGCGTGCGTCTCTTCTGTGAATGACATTACGTGTCTTTATTTACCTCTGGGATTAAAGCTGAATGATTAAATCTGCTTTCTGTTGTTTTCAAGTTTGCTTCACTGAACTTCACTTTAAGCATTTGTTTATTTTTTCATTATATATTTTTCAGATTATATTGGACATGTCCTCTCTTGATGATATAGCTTTTCATTAACCATATTGCACAATTTGACATTTTGAAAATAAGTTCACTTCATGGAAATACGGCAATTTAAAGAAAAAAACTAATTTTGTAATAAAAAGATGGATTTGTTTTCTCCCGACTGTGTCAAAATCGATTTATTTCACAAAACTGCAATGGAAACACTTTTTTCACATCACACCAGTCATGTGATCGACAACAGGATGTTACTACTGGTATAAATGACGAAGAAGACGACAGGAAATGCTAGCAGGATGATTGCATCGCACATCTTTTAATGATTTATCACAGGAACAAACTTATTCACGTTTGATTTTAGGTGTGTTTCTTATTTAATGGAGACACCACAACTGTCAAATTATGTTTATTAGACATTACCGGAATAGCAACAAAGTTTTGTAGATATTTGTAATGTAAACGCCGCAATTCAGTCAGAGGCTTCTTCAAATTTGTTGCAGTACAGACTGCTACAGGAGATCTTTCCTACCCTCAGACATTACTATCTAGAATAACTATTTAAAGATGCAGTATTGGACTTTCCACATATTTGTTGAAACTATGACTCTTGTGGCAGTATGAGATAATCAGTGACAAAAATTTAGCTCCACTGCCTTTTCCCAGCGCTAACTAGAAACAACCAATCAGAGCTAGGAGGCGGGACTTAGCTCTTTCAATCACGCTTTCTGCTATGATAGCCATGCTAAGATTAGTTGACCAAATTAGAGAAAACCAAATTAAAAACACGCCATCATCCTCCTCCTACTTCCTGTTGTCTTCTTCGTCGTTTTCTCCAGTAATAACATCCAGCTGTCAGTCACGTGACTCGTCAATATTCACGGTACAATGGCAATAATGTTGGAAAAACCAGGTTAAAATCACACATGACTAAATTTGCTCAATAAAAATAAAACATGTTGTGTTTTATTAACGGCCGACTGTTGATCACGTGACTCCTGTTAAAAATCATGTTTTCCGATATGGCTAAAAAAACAAATCAAAACATTTCATCCAAAGCGCAGAAACTTTTTTCCCCCAAGAAAACCTGCGTTTTCTTTTAAAGTGGCATTTTCTTATTAAATTCATTTTTGTAATTTTAATCTGAACAATTCTGTGATCAACAAAAACACAGATTATACCGTCACAACATGGTGACATTTTTTTTTTTACAAATATAGAAAAAACAATATTTTTAAAATAAAAGTTACATATTGCAGCTTTAAATAAACGCGTTGATTTATTTTTTATTTTGTATCAATAAAATATTTTTGAATTAGAATAAACAGGTGAGGATGTAAAACAAGCCGGTTCTGATTAAGCATGCAGCTCCGATAATCTGCAACATTTCTTCCCCCATTAATCCTCACGCAGAAGGATTCTCTTACCCAGACACGCGTTGATGAAGCCGTACCAAACGCATCCAGCGCGTCCGATCAGCCACCGCCCCTGCGTGCTGGCCGCGAAGCTGAACGGGGTCCCCAGCACGCTGACCAGCAGGTCGCTCACAGAGATGCTCACCAGCAGCAGGTTCATGGGCGTGCGCAAAGCCCGGTACCGGCAGAACAGCGCCAGCACCAGGAAGTTACTGAGGAAGCCCAGCGTGCCGATGCATCCCAGGCACACCGCCACCACCAGGTGCCCGGTCGGACTCAAGGAGGGCGCCGGCACTGAGCCCGGAACCGCTCCGCTCGCCTCCGTCGTCGCTTCCCCGGGACACCGCGCACAGCTCAGGCTCGCGTTGGAAGCGATCATACCGGGAAGTTTGGACCAGAGGGGAAGTTTGCACCCATCCGGGTCTCGGTCAGCGCATCCGGAGAGGAGATGGCGCACCGCGGCAGTTTGCGCGCATCGTGCACACAGGTGTTCCTGCTCTGCGGAGCAAAGTGTCCAACGAAGGAAGACTCAGAGAGGACACGGAGGTGATCCGGAGAGCCGCCCCCCAACTCGCTGCACATGCAGCTGTGCGCTTCTGCTTTTATCGCCAACTGCGCCTTTTAACGCGCCGAAACTCAACAGGAGGCGGCGTCGGAGCGCAGACTGCGCCAGAGACTCAGCAGCTCTGTGTGACTGACGAGTCAGGAGGCAATGAGAGAGAGGATAAGAGCAGAAAGACAAGGGGCTCTGCTGGGTTTCATGACAGTGCATTCATGCATCATCAAACAGTAGATAGCAGCAGGCAAAAAATATTCTGGGCTCCAAAAGTTAAACATTTGTGGGGCAAAAATGTCAACTAGAAAAAACAAATTTCTGAGCTTAAAAAGTCAAAAATTTTCAAGAAAAATAAGAAATTGGGAGATTTATCTAAGAAATTTATACAAAAAATTATTCCTTAGCTCCAAAAGTTGTGAAAAAAAGACATTTTGAAATTGATCTGGAAACTTTCCAAAAACAAAAGTTTGACAAGAGTCAAATATTTGCAAAAAGAAAAAAAAACTTCTGACATTAACCTCAGACATTTTTAACAAAAATAAGGAAATTTCAGAGTTTCAAAAAATAGAGATTTCAACCTTAAAATCTTCTAGAAAATCTCTGAGCTTGAAAAGTCAAAAATCTGCTAGAAGAAACTGAGAAATTTTGAGATTAATTTGAGAAATTTCCCAAAAGAACAAAAACATGTCTGACCTCCAAAATCTGAAAATTTATGGGAAAATGTATTTGAAATTTTCAGATTGATCTAAAAAATTAAAAAGTAAAAGAATTCTGAGCTCCAAAAGTAAAAAAAAAAAAATATTCCCAGTAACTTTTGTGAATGGTTAAAGTTCAACACTTCTGTTTTTAGTACACTGATGCTTTTTGTCTCCATCTTAAGTTTAACTTCTGACAATCAGAGTTACAGACTGTTTAACTAAAAGCACAATTTTTGTAGACATGAACATAAATAAAATGTATTTTTTCCAGAAATTGTCCATTTCAACCTTGAAAACCAAAAGGGAATCATAAATGAAATAAAATGTGTTGATCTAAGAACAAAATCGTATTCAAAATATGTGTCGCATTTCTAAATCTACCAAGAAAAGACGTTTGCTTTTGGGATTATGATAATTTTCTTATTGCAACTGTGCAATCAGAGATCTTTCTGCAGGTGTGAATGAATGAAAATAGCATCGTTAGCACATCAAAAACTCCCTCTCTTCTCACAGAGAGCACTTATTATGATAAGAAATGAATAAATGAATATTAAATTTGTTATTTTGGATATTTAGACACAAACCTGTAGGGCAGAGTTGTTATTCAGTAGCTGTCACTGTCCAAAACGAATAAAAATGTTTACGCTGCAGTAGCAGAAAGAAACCTTCAAAGAATCTCCACATTCTGGGATTTTGGGGCTTTCAGGAATTCCTTGAAGTTGAAACATTTTCAAAGTGTTGCAAATATGTGCAACCGGATTGTGCGCGTGTGTTCGAGTGATGAGGAAATTTGTCAGCATGAGGTTTATTGAGATTCAGAGAAAAACATCAAAGCTTCAACTTTCCCGGCAGAATCAAAGATATCACAGAGTGTCAAACGAAATGGCTTCATTGCGCCGCCGAACAACGGGCAAAAATAAACCAGGGCCACTCAAAGATAACGTTATTTCCTCTTTTCCACACTCACTTAAAGATCCACATGTGGTTTAGGAGAATATTAAGTGAAATAATATTTCCTGCTCAACAGTAAGTATAAATTGTGGCTCCTTTGAACGTCAGAGAGAAGCAACAAAAGGTTTCTGATTGAAAAGGGTTTCGCTTTTCAGGCTGCAGAATCCCAGGATTCACTTTGACCAAGTGGGAGATTTTTACTCTTGGAACAATAACTAACAAAGTGGGAAAGAAATTGGAGTTTTAAATGTAATACATACAAAAATCTGGTGGTAAAATTAGAAGCATAAAAGAGCTTCTGTTTTTGGGCTTTTGTCATTTACATAGACATGTTTTTTATTTTGTTTTTTTATATAAACAGCTCTGGAAAAAATTACGAAAGCATTTCAAATGACCAGTTTCTCTGATTTTACGTTTTATAGGTATGTGTTTGAATAAAATGAACATTGTTGTTTTGTCACATGAACTACAGACAACATGTCTCATGTTTCATAGATTAGCTTTGACTTGTTCTCAGAACGTGTTGAAACTTGTCATTTTAGAGCGTCTTGTCACTTTAAATCTAAATAAGTTGCTGCTGGAAACAAAATGGCTGTAAACATATGTTCAGTTATACGGCCAGCAGCCATTGTACTGCGGTAAAATCAGCTGACCTAAACTCCCTGAATGCACTTGTGTTGCTAGGTAATGGGGAAGTGCCTGCTGATTGCTGTTTTTAAAACGACTCATTTTCCAGACATCACAAAAGAAACTTCTTGCCAAAAACCAGCTGTGTGGATTTTTTTTTTTTTTTTAACTGATTTTTGATGCAGCAGAAACCCAAATGGGAGAAAAAAAATCTGAATTTTGCATTAACAGTTCCCCTTTAAGTCCTGATGAGGATGTAAGTGGATTTGTTGACCAGCTCACTTAACCCCAGTTCAGTGTTTGAAAAAAGCAGCAGCATTTCAGCAGGGATTAGAAATGAGAACAGTTTAGATTAACAAATAACGTCTGAACAAAAATGCTGCTCTTTAGTTGGATTCTGTCCTCAACCTGTTTCTGTAAACCGGTTTGCAAAGACGGGACAGAAGCAAAAAATGTCAAGTTGTTGCTGAAATTAGAGTAAAACTTCAGTCAAGGGAATTAATTTAATAAATAAGCAATAAACACATGAATAAATGATGAAGAGCTGGTTTAAAACATTTGATATGTAACCGATATACTGATATTCTCTGCTCACGGACGGGATTATTATGGATTTATTTTGGAAATATGATCTCCAGAAAGCAGCTTTCAGTGCATCTCACAAGGCTCCTCCTCACTTCCCTTCAGGGAGTTTTTGGAAAAAGATAAACAACTTTCCATCTTGGTGCTTCCCGACGTCTTACAAATATTAAGATTTTGTGTTTTTCTTGTTCTGTCATGAGTTAAGCAAAGTTCTGCACCAGTAAAAGGTAAAGGCAATTTCATTTGGATCAGTTTTCAATTGATACATTGATTTTAAAAAACTTTTGTGGAAAGATCTCTGCAGCGAAAGATATGCCAGGAGCAAGGAGGCAGGTCTTAGCGCTGTGCATCATCTCTATGTACTTGCTGCTAAATGTGAAGAAACAATCCAGCTTTACAGGAAAACAGCTGATCCACTGGAGCCATAAAGCTGTTTGGAAAGAAAATTACTTAACAACTCTGAGTGTCAAACTGCAGAAAGAACACGATAAAAATAATAATAATAATAATAATAAAAACATTGACAGGTTCCTTGTTTGGATCAACCCTTTTTTCTTCCCATTGGATGGATTCTGGTAAGCTTCATAGCTCATTACAATACATCAGTTATTGGTTAAAATTTAAAACTTGGAACAGTTGTTCAGTTATAGCCACAGTTATTATCTGTAACTGACAAAACTCTTTTTTGTATTGATTTGTCATTGATTAACTCAAGTTTTTGCTTCGTAACCTAATTTAATTATTCTTCAATTAAAAGAACAGCAGATCAGTAACCTGGTCAGTGTGCCAGAAATGATTTATACAGCAACCAAACCTTTCATTTAAAATAAACCCTCTTCTTTTATTCCTCATGGCAAGAAAAGAAACAACCGACTGACGACGCTCTGCAGGGAGTTTTAAAGCATGTCATATTTGTTGAAATCATTCAGTAAATGGCTGTAAGCTCTTCCCTCAAAGCTCGGATGCTTTTGCCTCCAAAGCCCTTTTATTAACTTCAAATAACAGGAGACATTTTTCTCTACGATCATCAGGAAATGCTTTTAGTTTTCCATTTTCCCATCTCTCAGGCCACCGACCGACATAACCTTCAATCAAAGGTTTTCTGAATTATTCTGAACAAACAAAAGAGCTGGACAGACGCTGTGGATCCTCACGCGCCCTCCTTGTCTCGTCTGTCCTCCGCTGGGGGCTCGTTTGGCTGCGAACGGCTGGGATGGATAAGCATCAGTATCCATTTATCCACGTCATTACACGCATGAACCAACGGGGCAGACGAATCCAACAGTTTGGTCTCTAATCTTCAGTTTAAGACACTTTGGCTCCTGGGAAGAGGAGCCATGTGATTACAGAGTCAGACAGAGATGGAGTGCAGCTTGGCAGGGGAAATTATCTGGAGAGTTTCCTGGACTGAAAATGCATCCTTGAAAGGATTTAACAACACAAATAGTTCACATGTTAGATCCATATCGCAGCTAGCATAGCCTGTTGTGAATGCTCAGTCTAACTGCAGATAAAAGATTTTTCTGGAACAACTTGTTCCTCTGCCTTTAGCGCATTTAGCAGCGAGTACATGAGGATGACTGACAGCACTAATCCCCTCCTCCTGGCTCTGATTGGTTGTTTTTGGTTTCTTCATGCAGCAATAGCAGCTCAGGCAGAAGGTGAAGATCGATTATCTGTCATGACAAGATGACAGTTTGAACAAATATGCTAAAAAAACAACATTTTGGACAAAAAAATGACGTACTGTAACTTTAATGACATCATGTGTCATTTGTGATGTAACTGCACAATATTTACATAGAAGCATGTTACTTACTTTTCATTGAGCTTTATTTAAATCCTTCTCAGCTTCATGTCTCACGTCCAAACACCAACACGTTTCACTGGAGGTCAGGGTTTCATAAGAGCTTCAAGTGTTTTTGCTTCAGGGCTCAGAGTTCAAATAATCTGGGGAAATACTTTAGTTATGGCACTATTATTTGTTTGCCACCATTCAACTTTAAAGTTTTTAAAAAAAATCTTCTGTTTTAGGGGAAAGTATCTCCAAGTCCCGGTCTTCAGGGTCCACCGTTTTGTTAGCTTTAGATGTGTTTCTGTTCCAGTTTATTTGACATAAATGACGGCATAATTAGTTAATATGC